GAATTGGGGGGGGTTTAGATATATATAAAAGTGTAGGGGGGGGTGTATGAGATCGAGAGATGTGTATATATGTGTGTGTATAGCGTTTTATATATATATATATATATATATATATATATATATATATATATATATATATATATATATATATATATATATATATATTTTTTTTTTTTTAACTTTTTTATTTTTTATTTTTTTTAATTTTCAAATCAATATGTTTCCTGTAATGAAAATAACTACATGTACTGTACTGAAAATAATTATATGTAACTGTAGTAACTATAGTAATGCGTAGTTATGTTCCTTTTTGTAGAAAATATTTTTAGTCGATTAATTATATACACACACGAATACTGGCTAATACAAAAGAAATTCATAAACCCAAACAACAAAAATTTACAAATTTCAATATTTGTATTATAAATCCCCTCAAAACCAATAAAATACAAATAAAAAATACACAAATATATGCATATGTAACTACATGTTACTATAGAAATGTATAGAAATATACAGTACTGTATACAGTCTGTTGAACAAAGCAGATGTAACTTCAAACAAAAATTTTGACACCTTCAAGGAAAAGATCAATGATATTCATTAAGCTGCAATTGCAAAATCAAAACAAAAAAAAATTATTTTAGTGCAAATGAACAAAAAATAAAAAAACATCCTCAAAAAACAACAAACACTAAGAGATTGAGAGAAATAAAATCTGAAAATATAAAAATAAAATAAAATATAAAAATATAGAAATAAATCTGAAAATATAAAAATGAATGAAATTGACATCAAAATATGGATCCCGGCGAAATAAATTCAACGGTGAGTGGCCCGTCAAATTCCGACTGACGAAAAACAAATTACATCTATTGTAAGAACACCATCGTCGAAATACGTCGACTAAAAGAAAATGCAGAAACAGATCTAGCATTCCAAAATGAATGAAATAACCATCAAAAGAAAGAGCTCGACGAGAGGAATCCAACGATAGTTGAACCATCGAATTCCGACCACCGGAGAGAGAGTTATGACTCCGAGCCGCAAAATCGCCGGTTAAAGACCTTGGGGGGGCGGGATTTGGATCTGGGAATTGAAAGAGGAAAATAAACACCGATATGGGTTGGACTAGGGTTTAAAACTACTTTAAAAGGGTATTCTGGGTACTTCAGGATGAGTTAAGGGTATGTCAAATTATTATCCAAATAGAGGAAGTATGCGCTAGGGTGTAAACAACATGGTAGTTAGTGGGAAAATTACAATTTTCGTCCTCAAACATTACCCACTTTTTCGATATTGTCCCTAAACATTTTCGAGTTACAATAATGGTCCGTAATGATGTCATTTTTCGACAATTTTCGTCCAACCGTTAGTTCTTGCTGTTAGTTTTGATGGAAGTATGACGTGGAATTATAAATATCATTATAATGCATATATGACATGAATAGTTAATCTACGTGGCCGCCCACGTGCTTCTTGTGCAGTTGCACCATAGCTCCATCAGCGTCGCCATGCACATGGGTAGTAGAGAACCAAGCAATACGCATTTTGACGTTGCAAGAGAATCACCAAGCACATACATGACCCCCAAAAGACCCATTTCGAGTCTCCCAAGATTAAGTTGGTAATAACTTCAACACAATATATTTTAGTTCGAATTTGAGTTTTTCCGATAAAATAGATCCAAGGTACTAGAGCAAACAGCAAACCTCTGTTTCAATGCCAATTTGAAATCCAGAAACTTCTAACTCACAATAGCAAAATTTGCGATTAATTTCAAAAACTCTATAGCCAAAGAAAGGATTTTTGCTACCATTTATTGATTAGTTCCAATTAAAATATAATACAAAACATAATTAATTACTTAATTCACATTAAGTCCTCTGCAGTTCATAAAACATAATTCAATAATCAATGAGACCTCTCTCAACTGCATCTCTCTCTCTCCCATTTTCTATTTTTTTTTTTTTTTTTTGACAAGCTCTACCTTCATCATCTGTACACCATCATCCCAAAATTATTTCTCTCTCTCTCTCTCTCTAACCAAACAGGAGTCTCTTTTACCCCTCTCTGCACCGATATTTTTTGTCTCATTTTTAATCATCAACGATTCAGTCAATCTTGCTTATACCCATTCTCTTCACTACAGCATTTCTAATGGCTTCTGTCTGCATGCAGAACCCATTCGGCTCAGGCTCAACCCCGCCATGTAATTCCTCACCTCCTTTCTCACCATCTCCTGCATCACCGCCAGAAACTCCGCGCTGAAAAACTGCTTCTCCCCCACAACTCCTGCTGGCTGAGCCGCCGGAGAAAACTGGTGCATCTGAAGAGGCGGCGCCGCCGCCGGGGGAGGCGGCGGCGGCGGAAGAGATGAGATCATTTGATTTGGGTGCTTGGGTGGAACCATCATTGGTTTTAGAGCATGGTTCGGGTCGGGTTCGGGTATGGGGTTATGGATCGGTTCAGTAATAGAATTTAGATTCGGGTCGGATCCGGGAAGTGAAAGGCTGAGTGATGTGACCGGTTCACGGGTTGGATCGGGCGGGGACTGGGAGATCCCGCCGGTTCTGGCAATCGGTCGGTAGATAAGGTGGCCGGAATGGCTCGAATCGCTCATATCCGAACCGGACGGGCTGCCCGGGTTGAAACAGAAGGCGGAGGTTGCCGGACCGAGGCTGGCCGATCTCTTCAGCGGCGGCTGCGCCTCCGGATCGAAGTTGTTGAACTCCTCCGACATGGAAACGCACTTGCGCTTGAGCGTGGAGTTCCAGTGGTTTTTGATTGCGTTATCGGTCCGGCCGCAGAGCATCCGGGCGATGGTGGCCCACTTGTTGCCGAACTTGGCGTGGGCGCGGACAATCGTCTCGTCCTCCTCCGGCGCGCGAAAACGCGCGGTGCTCCACCTGCGGCGAGAGCTAGTTGGTAATATATTCAAAATTCAACAAAGTGAACATACAAAATTCAAAAATGAAGTTATATGGATAGGTATGTGTGATGATGTATCTTAGTTGGTGCTTCAGTGTGCAGAAATGGAGAGCAGAGAGGTGTTGCACTGTGAAGAAATGGAGAAATAGGTATGTTGCCCCTTCAACCTACATAGCCCAATTAATTACATTTTTTTAACAAAACAATTAGCCACGTGTATTAGTTGTTCATATAAGTCGTCAACATTTCAAGTCCATGTCATACTTCCATCCAAACTAACAGTAAAAACTAACCGGAGGACGAAAATTGTAGAAAAATTGCATCATTAGGGACTACTATTGTAACTCGAAAATATTTAGGGACAATATTGAAAAACTGGGTAATGTTTGAGGACGAAAAATGTAATTTTCCCGTAGTTAGTTATATATATTTTCGAAATGATGGGTCCCTAAAATAATCCCAATAAAAAATATGTGATACACCGTATTTAATGCCATACGTTTACTTTGCCGATTTTATATCCACGACAAGATTTCTAAGTAATGACAATATAATGCATTTACTTTGCCACGAGAATTCGATTTCTTGTGGTGGAGTTTTTATGACTCCGAGATGCAAAATAGTCGGTTAAAGACTTTGGGGGGCGGGATTTGGATCTGAGAATTGAAAGAGGAAGATAAACACCGATATGGGTTGGGCTAGAGTTTAAAACTGATTTAAAAGGGTATTTTGGGTACTTCAGGATGGGTTAGGGGTATGTCAAATTATTATCCAAATGGAG